GGGACACAGAGACACGGAGTCTGAGACACAGAGACACGGAGTCTGAGATACGGAGACACGGAGACACGGGGTCTGAGACACGGAGACACGGAGACCCACAGAGACACAGAGACACGGAGACACGGAGACACACAGAGACACAGAGACATGGAGTCTGGGACACAGAGACACGGAGTCTGAGACACAGAGACACGGAGTCTGAGATACGGAGACACGGAGACACGGAGACACGGGGTCTGAGACACGGAGACACGGAGACCCACAGAGACACAGAGACACGGAGACACGGAGACACACAGAGACACAGAGACACAGAGTCTGAGACACAGAGACACGGAGACACGGAGACACACCGAGTCTGAGACACGGAGACACGGAGACACACCGAGTCTGAGACACGGAGACACGGAGACACACAGAGACACAGAGTCTGAGACACAGAGACACGGAGACACAGAGACACTGAGACATAGAGACACGGAGACACAGAGACACACAGAGTCTGAGACACAGAGACACAGACACGGGGACACGGACCGCCGCTCACCGCCACCACCGCCACCACCGCCGCTCACCACCACCGCTCACCACCACCACCGCCGCTCACCACCACCACCACCACTACCACCACAACCACCACACACCACCACCACCACCACCGCCACCACCACCACCACCACCACCGCCACCACCGCCACCACCACCACCGCCACCACCACCACCACACACCGCCACCACCACCACCACCTCCACCACCGCCACCACCACCTCCATCGCCACCACCACCACACACCGCCATCACCATCACCACCACCACCACCACCACCGCCGCTCACCGTGCGAAGCGTCACGGAATCTCTGCGTCTCCCTCTTCTCCCGCAGTATCACAGCGAGCGCTGCCCGGCATACGGCCGCGGTGGTGGTGGCCGTGGTGGTGACCGTGGTGGTGGTGGTGGCGGTGGTGGCGGTGGTGGTGGCAGTGGTGGTGGCGGTGGTGGCCATGGCCAGGCTGTGCTGGTGGCGCTCGATGAAGCCGGTGTCCACCAGGCCGGCACGGAACGCCGGGTGGGCAGCGAGGGACAGCAGGAAGGGCACGTTGGTCTCCACGCCCACCACCTGGCGGACACGCGGTGACACGGGGACAGGGAGACACACGGAGACACGTGGTGACACGGAGACACAGGGTGACAGGGAGACACCGAGACACGTGGACACGGGGACACGGAGACACACGGAGAGACGGAGACACGTGGACACGTGGACACGCGGACACGTGGACACGCAGACACGGAGACACGGAGACACACGGAGACACGTGGACACGGGGACACGGAGACACACGGAGAGACGGAGACACGTGGACACGTGGACACGCGGACACGCGGACACGTGGACACGCAGACACGGAGACACGGAGACACACGGAGACACGTGGACACGGGGACACGGAGACACACGGAGACACACGGAGACACGTGGTGACACGGGGACAGGGAGACACACGGAGACACACGGAGACACGGAGACACGGAGACATGCAGACACGGAGACACGGGGACACGGGGACACGTGGGGACACGTGGGGACACGAGGACAGGGAGACACGGAGACACGTGGACATACGGAGGCACACGGAGACACGGAGACAGGGAGACACGTGGATACGGAGACACGGAGACACACGGAGACAGGGAGACACAGAGACACGTGGACACGGAGACACACAGACACACAAACACGGAGACACGGAAACACGGAGACACGGAGACACACAGACACACAGACACGGAGACACGGAGACACACAGACATGCAGACACGCAGACACGGAGACACGGAGACACACGGAGACACGGAGACACGGATACACGGAGACACGTGAGGACACGAAGACACGGAGACACGTGGGGACACGGAGACACACAGACATGCAGACACGCAGACACGGAGACACGGAGACACACGGAGACACGGAGACACGGATACACGGAAACACGTGAGGACACGGAGACACGGAGACACGTGGGGACACGGAGACACACAGACACACAGACACGGAGACACGGAGACACGGGGACACGGGGACACGGGGACACGGAGACACGGAGACACGTGGGGACACGGAGACACGGAGACACGTGGGGACACGGAGACACACAGACACACAGACACGGAGACACGGGGACACGGGGACACGGGGACACGGAGACACGGAGACACGGAGACACACAGACACGGAGACACGGGGACACGTGGTGACACACAGATACGTGGACACGGAGACACGCAGAAACACGGAGACACACGGAGACACACGGAGAGACGGAGACACACGGAGACACGGGTGAGCTAGTGAGTGAGTGAGTGAGTGTGTGGGTGAGTGAGTAGGTGAATGAGTGAGTGCATGGGTGAGTGTGTAGGTGAGTGAGTGGGTGAGCTAGTGAGTGGGTGAATGAGTGAGTGTATGGGTGAGTGAGTAGGTGAATGAGTGAGTGTATGGGTGAGTGTGTAGGTGAGTGAGTGGGTGAGCTAGTGAGTGGGTGAATGAGTGAGTGTATGGGTGAGTGAGTAGGTGAATGAGTGAGTGTATGGGTGAGTGTGTAGGTGAGTGAGTGGGTGAGCTAGTGAGTGGGTGAATGAGTGAGTGTATGGATGAGTGAGTAGGTAAATGAGTGAGTGTATGGGTGAGTGAGTAGGTGAATGAGTGAGTGTATGGGTGAGTGAGTGGGTGAATGAGTGAGTGTATGGGTAAGTGTGTAGGTGAGTGAGTGTGTAGGTGAGTGAGTGGGTGAGCTAGTGAGTGGGTGCATGAGTGAGTGTATGGGTGAGTGAGTAGGTGAATGAGTGAGTGTATGGGTGAGTGAATAGGTGAATGAGTGAGTGTATGGGTGAGTGAGTAGGTGAATGAGTGAGTGTATGGGTGAGTCTGTAGGTGAGTGAGTGTATGGGTGAGTGCGTAGGTGAGTAAGTGGGTGAGCTAGTGAGTGGGTGCATGAGTGAGTGTATGGGTGAGTGTGTAGGTGAGTGAGTGGGTGAGCTAGTGAATGGGTGCATGAGTGAGTGTATGGGTGAGTGAGTAGGTGAATGAGTGAGTGTATGGGTGAGTGAATAGGTGAATGAGTGAGTGTATGGGTGAGTGAGTAGGTGAATGAGTGAGTGTATGGGTGAGTCTGTAGGTGAGTGAGTGTATGGGTGAGTGCGTAGGTGAGTAAGTGGGTGAGCTAGTGAGTGGGTGCATGAGTGAGTGTATGGGTGAGTGTGTAGGTGAGTGAGTGGGTGAGCTAGTGAGTGGGTGAATGAGTGAGTGTATGGGTGAGCTAGTGAATGAGTGCATGGGTGAGCGTGTGGGTGAGCGAGTGGGTGAGCGTATGAGCGTGTGGGTGAGCGTGTGGGTGAGCGTGTGGGTGAGCATGCGGGTGAGCGTGTGGGTGAGCGTGCGGGTGAGCGTGTGGGTGAGCGAGTGGGTGAGCGCACGTGGTACTGGCTCAGCGCGTGGTGCAGCCGCCCCAGCGCCGTGTCGCGATCTTCGCCCCACGCCACGACCTTGGCGATCATGGGGTCGTAGTGCGACGTCACCTCGTCCCCTACACACACAGACACACACAGACACACACAGACACACACACACAGACACACACACAGACACACACAGACACAGACTCACACAGAGACACACACAGAGACACACACAGAGACACACAGAGACACACAGAGACCCATAGACTCACACAGTGTGTGGGTGAGTGGGTGAGTGAGTGAGCGAGCTAGTGAGTGCACACGTGTCCCCGCGTGTCTCTCTCCCTGTCTCACGCCCGTGTCTCCCCGTGTCTCTTTGTCTCCCCGCGTGTCTCTCACCCTGTCTCCCCGCGTGTCCCCGTGTGTCCCCGTGTCTCCCCGCGTGTCTCTCACCCTGTCTCCCCGTGTCTCTCTGTCTCCCCGCGTGTCTCTCACCCTGTCTCCCCACGTGTCCCCGTGTGTCCCCGTGTCTCCCCGCGTGTCTCTCACCCTGTCTCCCCGTGTCTCCCCGCGTGTCTCTCACCCTGTCTCCCCGTGTCTCCCCGCGTGTCTATCACCCTGTCTCCCCGTGTCTCTCTGTCTCCACCGCGTGTCTCTCATCCTGTCTCACGCCCGTGTCCCCACGTGTCCCCACGTGTCTCCCCGTGTCTCCCCGTGTGTCCCCGTGTCTCCCCGCGTGTCTCTCACCCTGTCTCACGCCCGTGTCCCCGTGTGTCCCCGTGTCTCCCCGCGTGTCTCTCACCCTGTCTCACGCCCGTGTCCCCGTGTGTCCCCGTGTCTCCCCGCGTGTCTCTCACCCTGTCTCACGCCCGTGTCCCCGTGTGTCCCCGTGTCTCCCCGCGTGTCTCTCACCCTGTCTCACGCCCGTGTCCCCGTGTGTCCCCGTGTCTCCCCGCGTGTCTCTCACCCTGTCTCACGCCCGTGTCCCCGTGTGTCCCCGTGTCTCCCCGCGTGTCTCTCACCCTGTCTCACGCCCGTGTCCCCGTGTGTCCCCGTGTCTCCCCGCGTGTCTCTCACCCTGTCTCACGCCCGTGTCCCCGTGTGTCCCCGTGTCTCCCCGCGTGTCTCTCACCCTGTCTCACGCCCGTGTCCCCGTGTGTCCCCGTGTCTCCCCGCGTGTCTCTCACCCTGTCTCACGCCCGTGTCCCCGTGTGTCCCCGTGTCTCCCCGCGTGTCTCTCACCCTGTCTCACGCCCGTGTCCACGCGTGTCCCCGTGTCTCCCCGCGTGTCTCTCACCCTGTCTCACGCCCGTGTCCCCGTGTGTCCCCGTGTCTCCCCGCGTGTCTCTTACCCTGTCTCACGCCCGTGTCCCCGTGTGTCCCCGTGTCTCCCCGCGTGTCTCTCACCCTGTCTCACGCCCGTGTCCCCGTGTGTCCCCGTGTCTCCCCGCGTGTCTCTCACCCTGTCTCACGCCCGTGTCCCCGTGTGTCCCCGTGTGTCCCCGCGTGTCTCTCACCCTGTCTCACGCCCGTGTCCCCGTGTCTCCCCGCGTGTCTCTCACCCTGTCTCACGCCCGTGTCCCCGTGTGTCTCTCTGTCTCCCCGCGTGTCTCTCACCCTGTCTCACGCCCGTGTCCCCGTGTGTCCCCGTGTCTCCCCGCGTGTCTCTCACCCTGTCTCACGCCCGTGTCCCCGTGTGTCCCCGTGTCTCCCCGCGTGTCTCTCACCCTGTCTCACGCCCGTGTCCACGCGTGTCCCCGTGTCTCCCCGCGTGTCTCTCACCCTGTCTCACGCCCGTGTCCCCGTGTGTCCCCGTGTCTCCCCGCGTGTCTCTTACCCTGTCTCACGCCCGTGTCCCCGTGTGTCCCCGTGTCTCCCCGCGTGTCTCTCACCCTGTCTCACGCCCGTGTCCCCGTGTGTCCCCGTGTCTCCCCGCGTGTCTCTCACCCTGTCTCACGCCCGTGTCCCCGTGTGTCCCCGTGTGTCCCCGCGTGTCTCTCACCCTGTCTCACGCCCGTGTCCCCGTGTCTCCCCGCGTGTCTCTCACCCTGTCTCACGCCCGTGTCCCCGTGTGTCTCTCTGTCTCCCCGCGTGTCTCTCACCCTGTCTCACGCCCGTGTCCCCGTGTGTCCCCGTGTCTCCCCGCGTGTCTCTCACCCTGTCTCACGCCCGTGTCCCCGTGTGTCCCCGTGTCTCCCCGCGTGTCTCTCACCCTGTCTCACGCCCGTGTCCCCGTGTGTCCCCGTGTCTCCCCGCGTGTCTCTCACCCTGTCTCACGCCCGTGTCCCCGTGTGTCCCCGTGTCTCCCCGCGTGTCTCTCACCCTGTCTCACGCCCGTGTCCCCGTGTGTCCCCGTGTGTCTCTCACCCTGTCTCACGCCCGTGTCCACGCGGACGTGGCCTCCGGGTGCGGGCGCCGGGGACAGGAAGTGGAGCCGCCCCGACACGGGCAGGAACCCGCGGGAGGGATCCTCGGCGTAGACACGGCCCTCCACGGCGTGGCCACGCACACGCAGCTCCGCCTGGCTCAGCGGGAGACGCTCACCACCTGCTATCTGGAGACACAGAGAGACACAGAGACACAGAGACACAGTGAGACACAGAGACACAGAGACACAGAGACACACAGAGACAGTGAGACACAGAGACACAGAGACACACAGAGACAGTGAGACACAGAGAGACAGAGAGACACAGAGACACAGAGACACAGTGAGACACAGAGACACAGAGACACAGAGACACACAGAGACAGTGAGACACAGAGACACAGAGACACACAGAGACAGTGAGACACAGAGAGACAGAGAGACACAGAGACACAGAGACACAGTGAGACACAGAGACACAGAGACACAGAGACACACAGAGACAGTGAGACACAGAGACACAGAGACACACAGAGACAGTGAGACACAGAGAGACAGAGAGACACAGAGACACACAGAGACAGTGAGACACAGAGACACAGAGACACACAGAGACAGTGAGACACAGAGAGACAGAGAGACACAGAGACACAGAGAGACAGTGAGGCACAGAGACACAGTGAGACACAGAGACACAGTGAGACAGTGAGACACAGAGACACAGAGACACACAGAGACAGTGAGACACAGAGAGACAGAGAGACACAGAGACACAGAGAGACAGTGAGGCACAGAGAGACGCGGCCTCCACGGCGTGTCCAAGCACACGCAGCTCCGCCTGGCTGAGTGGGAGACACTCGCCACCTGCTACCTGGAGACAGGGGGAGACAGTGAGACACAGAGACACAGTGAGACGCGGGGAGACGCGGAGAGACATGGGGAGACGCGGGGAGACGCGGGGAGACGTGGGGAGACACGGGGAGACACGGGGAGAGAGTGAGACACGTGGAGACGCGGGGAGACGCGGAGAGACACGGTGAGACACGGGGAGACACGGAGAGACACGAGGAGACACGGAGAGACAGGGAGAGACACGGAGACACGCGGGGAGACACGGGGAGACACGGAGAGACACGGGGAGAGAGTGAGACACTGAGAGATACGGGGAGACGCGGGGAGACGCGGGGAGACACGGGGAGACACGGTGCAACTTGCAGCAATATAAAATGAAAGTGTTGACCTCGCGACCCCACGACCCCTCGACCCGCGACACCGTGACCCCGCGACCCCTCACCCGCAGCTGCCACTCGACGAGGTCGGTGCCGGTGACGAGCTCCGTGACGGGGTGCTCCACCTGGAGCCGCGTGTTCATCTCCATGAAGAAGAAACGCTGAGCAGCGTCCATCACAAACTCCACCGTGCCTGGGAAGCATGTGCGAGGCGTGTGTGAGGCGTGTGTGAGGTGAGTGTGAGGTGTGTGTGAGGTGTGTGTGAGGTGTGTGTGAGGTGAGTGTGAGGTGTGTGTGAGGTGAGTGTGAGGTGTGTGTGAGGTGTGTGTGAGGTGTGTGTGAGGTGAGTGTGAGGTGTGTGTGAGGTGAGTGTGAGGTGAGTGTGAGGTGAGTGTGAGGTGTGTGTGAGGTGTGTGTGAGGTGTGTGTGAGGTGAGTGTGAGGTGTGTGTGAGGTGAGTGTGAGGTGTGTGTGAGGTGAGTGTGAGGTGTGTGTGAGGTGTGTGTGAGGTGAGTGTGAGGTGTGTGTGAGGTGTGTGTGAGGTGAGTGTGAGGTGTGTGTGAGGTGTGTGTGAGGTGAGTGTGAGGTGAGTGTGAGGTGTGTGTGAGGTGAGTGTGAGGTGTGTGTGAGGTGTGTGTGAGGTGAGTGTGAGGTGTGTGTGAGGTGAGTGTGAGGTGTGTGTGAGGTGAGTGTGAGGTGAGTGTGAGGTGAGTGTGAGGTGAGTGTGAGGTGTGTGTGAGGTGTGTGTGAGGTGAGTGTGAGGTGTGTGTGAGGTGTGTGTGGGGTGTGTGTGAGGTGTGTGTGAGGTGAGTGTGAGGTGTGTGGTGTGAGGTGAGTGTGAGGTGTGTGTGAGGTGAGTGTGAGGTGAGTGTGAGGTGAGTGTGAGGTGAGTGTGAGGTGTGTGTGAGGTGTGTGTGAGGTGAGTGTGAGGTGAGTGTGAGGTGTGTGTGAGGTGTGTGTGAGGTGTGTGTGAGGTGAGTGTGAGGTGAGTGTGAGGTGAGTGTGAGGTGTGTGTGAGGTGTGTGTGAGGTGTGTGTGAGGTGTGTGTGAGGTGTGTGTGAGGTGTGTGTGAGGAGTGTGTGAGGTGAGTGTGAGGTGTGTGTGAGGTGAGTGTGAGGTGTGTGTGAGGTGAGTGTGAGGTGTGTGTGAGGTGTGTGTGAGGTGAGTGTGAGGTGTGTGTGAGGTGTGTGTGAGGTGTGTGTGAGGTGTGTGTGAGGTGTGTGTGAGGTGTGTGTGAGGTGAGTGTGAGGTGTGTGTGAGGTGTGTGTGAGGTGAGTGTGAGGTGTGTGTGAGGTGTGTGTGAGGTGTGTGTGAGGTGTGTGTGAGGAGTGTGTGAGGTGAGTGTGAGGTGTGTGTGAGGTGAGTGTGAGGTGAGTGTGAGGTGTGTGTGAGGTGTGTGTGAGGTGAGTGTGAGGTGTGTGTGAGGTGTGTGTGAGGTGAGTGTGAGGTGTGTGTGAGGTGTGTGTGAGGAGTGTGTAAGGTGAGTGTGAGGTGAGTGTGAGGTGAGTGTGAGGTGAGTGTGAGGTGAGTGTGAGGTGTGTGTGAGGTGAGTGTGAGGTGAGTGTGAGGTGAGTGTGAGGAGTGTGAGGTGTGTGTGAGGTGAGTGTGAGGTGAGTGTGAGGTGAGTGTGAGGTGAGTGTGAGGAGTGTGTGAGGTGTGTGTGAGGAGTGTGTGAGGTGTGTGTGAGGTGTGTGTGAGGTGTGTGTGAGGTGAGTGTGAGGTGAGTGTGAGGTGAGTGTGAGGTGAGTGTGAGGTGAGTGTGAGGTGAGTGTGAGGTGTGTGTGAGGTGAGTGTGAGGTGTGTGTGAGGTGTGTGTGAGGTGTGTGTGAGGTGAGTGTGAGGTGTGTGTGAGGTGAGTGTGAGGTGTGTGTGAGGTGTGTGTGAGGTGAGTGTGAGGTGTGTGTGAGGTGAGTGTGAGTTGAGTGTGAGGTGAGTGTGAGGTGAGTGTGAGGTGAGTGTGAGGTGAGTCTGAGGTGAGTGTGAGGTGTGTGTGAGGTGAGTGTGAGGTGAGTGTGAGGTGAGTGTGAGGTGAGTGTGAGGTGTGTGTGGGGTGTGTGTGAGGTGAGTGTGAGGTGTGTGTGAGGTGAGTGTGAGGTGTGTGTGAGGTGAGTGTGAGGTGAGTGTGAGGTGAGTGTGAGGTGAGTGTGAGGTGAGTGTGAGGTGAGTGTGAGGTGTGTGTGTGTGTGAGGTGTGTGTGAGGTGAGTGTGAGGTGAGTGTGAGGTGTGTGTGTGTGAGGTGTGTGTGAGGTGTGTGTGAGGTGAGTGTGAGGTGTGTGTGAGGTGTGTGTGAGGTGAGTGTGAGGTGTGTGTGAGGTGAGTGTGAGGTGAGTGTGAGGTGAGTGTGAGGTGAGTGTGAGGTGAGTGTGAGGTGAGTGTGAGGTGTGTGTGAGGTGTGTGTGAGGGTGAGTGTGAGGTGTGTGTGAGGTGAGTGTGAGGTGTGTGTGAGGTGAGTGTGAGGTGAGTGTGAGGTGAGTTGTGAGGTGAGTGTGAGGTGAGTGTGAGGTGAGTGACAGGTGAGTGTGAGGTGAGTGTGAGGTGTGTGTGAGGTGAGTGTGAGGTGAGTGTGAGGTGTGTGTGAGGTGAGTGTGAGGTGTGTGTGAGGTGAGTGTGAGGTGAGTGTGAGGTGAGTGTGAGGTGAGTGTGAGGTGAGTGTGAGGTGAGTGTGAGGTGAGTGTGAGGTGAGTGTGAGGTGTGTGTGAGGTGAGTGTGAGGTGTGTGTGAGGTGAGTGTGAGGTGAGTGTGAGGTGAGTGTGAGGTGAGTGTGAGGTGTGTGTGAGGTGAGTGTGAGGTGAGTGTGAGGTGAGTGTGAGGTGAGTGTGAGGGTGTGTGGGTGTGTGTGAGGTGAGTGTGAGGTGTGTGTGAGGTGAGTGTGAGGTGTGTGTGAGGTGAGTGTGAGGTGAGTGTGAGGTGAGTGTGAGGTGAGTGTGAGGTGAGTGTGAGGTGTGTGTGAGGTGTGTGTGTGTGTGAGGTGTGTGTGAGGTGAGTGTGAGGTGAGTGTGAGGTGTGTGTGTGTGTGAGGTGTGTGTGAGGTGTGTGTGAGGTGAGTGTGAGGTGTGTGTGGGGTGTGTGTGAGGTGAGTGTGAGGTGAGTGTGAGGTGAGTGTGAGGTGAGTGTGAGGTGTGTGTGAGGTGTGTGTGTGTGTGAGGTGTGTGTGAGGTGAGTGTGAGGTGAGTGTGAGGTGTGTGTGTGTGTGAGGTGTGTGTGAGGTGTGTGTGAGGTGAGTGTGAGGTGTGTGTGGGGTGTGTGTGAGGTGAGTGTGAGGTGAGTGTGAGGTGAGTGTGAGGTGAGTGTGAGGTGTGTGTGAGGTGTGTGTGTGTGTGAGGTGTGTGTGAGGTGTGTGTGAGGTGAGTGTGAGGTGTGTGTGTGTGTGAGGTGTGTGTGAGGTGTGTGTGAGGTGAGTGTGAGGTGTGTGTGAGGTGAGTGTGAGGTGAGTGTGAGGTGAGTGTGAGGTGAGTGTGAGGTGAGTGTGAGGTGTGTGTGAGGTGTGTGTGTGTGTGAGGTGTGTGTGAGGTGTGTGTGAGGTGAGTGTGAGGTGTGTGTGTGTGTGAGGTGTGTGTGAGGTGTGTGTGGGGTGTGTGTGAGGTGAGTGTGAGGTGAGTGTGAGGTGAGTGTGAGGTGAGTGTGAGGTGTGTGTGAGGTGTGTGTGAGGCGTGTGTGAGGTGTGTGTGAGGTGTGTGTGAGGTGAGTGTGAGGTGAGTGTGAGGTGAGTGTGAGGCGTGTGTGAGGTGAGTGTGAGGTGAGTGTGAGGTGAGTGTGAGGTGAGTGTGAGGTGTGTGAGGTGAGTGTGAGGTGAGTGTGAGGTGAGTGTGAGGTGAGTGTGAGGTGAGTGTGAGGTGAGTGTGAGGTGTGTGTGAGGTGAGTGTGAGGTGAGTGTGAGGTGAGTGTGAGGTGTGTGTGAGGCGAGTGTGAGGTGAGTGTGAGGTGTGTGTGAGGTGTGTGTGAGGTGAGTGTGAGGTGAGTGTGAGGTGAGTGTGAGGTGAGTGTGAGGTGAGTGTGAGGTGAGTGTGAGGTGAGTGTGAGGTGAGTGTGAGGTGTGTGTGAGGTGAGTGTGAGGTGAGTGTGAGGTGAGTGTGAGGTGTGTGTGAGGTGTGTGTGAGGTGAGTGTGAGGTGAGTGTGAGGTGAGTGTGAGGTGAGTGTGAGGTGAGTGTGAGGTGAGTGTGAGGTGAGTGTGAGGTGTGTGTGAGGTGTGTGTGAGGTGAGTGTGAGGTGAGTGTGAGGTGAGTGTGAGGTGAGTGTGAGGTGTGTGTGGGTGTGTGTGAGGTGAGTGTGAGGTGTGTGTGAGGTGAGTGTGAGGTGAGTGTGAGGTGAGTGTGAGGTGAGTGTGAGGTGAGTGTGAGGTGTGTGTGGGGTGTGTGTGAGGTGAGTGTGAGGTGTGTGTGAGGTGAGTGTGAGGTGTGTGTGAGGTGAGTGTGAGGTGAGTGTGAGGTGAGTGTGAGGTGTGTGTGAGGTGTGTGTGTGTGTGAGGTGTGTGTGAGGTGAGTGTGAGGTGAGTGTGAGGTGTGTGTGAGGTGAGTGTGAGGTGAGTGTGAGGTGAGTGTGAGGTGTGTGTGAGGTGTGTGTGAGGTGAGTGTGAGGTGAGTGTGAGGTGAGTGTGAGGTGAGGTGAGTGTGAGGTGAGTGTGAGGTGTGTGTGAGGTGTGTGTGTGTGTGAGGTGTGTGTGAGGTGTGTGTGAGGTGAGTGTGAGGTGTGTGTGAGGTGTGTGTGAGGTGTGTGTGAGGTGAGTGTGAGGTGAGTGTGAGGTGTGTGTGAGGTGTGTGTGTGTGTGAGGTGAGTGTGAGGTGAGTGTGAGGTGAGTGTGAGGTGAGTGTGAGGTGAGTGTGAGGCGTGTGCTCACCGGCCCCCACGTAGTTCACCGCCTTCGCTGCTCTGACGGCCGCCTCCCCAATCTCCCTGCGAACCTCCTCAGAGAGCCCCGGCTACATCAACAACATCAACAACAACATCAACAACAACATCAACAACATCATCATCAACATCATCAACATCATCAACATCATCAACAACATCAACAACAACATCAACATCAACAACATCATCATCAACATCATCAACATCATCAACAACAACATCATCATCAACAACATCATCAACATTATCAACATCATCAACAACAACATCATCAACATTATCAACATCATCAACAACAACATCATCAACATTATCAACATCATCAACAACATCATCAACATTATCAACATCATCAACAACATCATCAACAACAACATCATCAACATCATCAACATCATCATCAACATCATCAACATCATCAACAATCTTCTTGGTTCTTTCGATAAAGTCACGTAGAAGGAAAATAATAAAATAATAACATAAAACATAATAAAATAATTCTCACGACGTTTCGGCCACAACGCAAGCAGCCGTCCTCAGGTGAAAACCAGGTCTCACATGGGTTGGACTAGGCTCTAAGGAAAGCTGTCTCGGGTGTGGACCAATCAACTTCAAGGACAGTACATACATTATCAGAGTTATGTTTTTTGTTTGCATTATGGCTGCAGGTATTGTGGTCTATGCAAACATGACTCCTTGTAAAAAAGGTGTCAGTTTTGTTGCCAGATAGAAGGGTAAAAAACAATTATCAACATCATCATCATCAGCAACGTGACAATGTTGATGGTGAAGATGTTGATGGTGATGATGGTGGCGATGATGTTGATGGTGGTCATGATGGTGGCGATGATGATGATGGTGATGATGATGATGGTGATGATGATGGTGGCGATGATGTTGTTGTTGTTGATGTTGTTGTTAATGATGGTGATGTTGTTGTTGATGTTGTTGATGGTAAATGTTGTTGTTGTTGATGTTGACGATGTCCCTCACCGCTGGAGCCTCCTCGATGACCTTCTGGTGCCTCCGCTGGAGGCTGCAGTCTCTCTCAAACAGGTAGACGGCGTTGCCGTGGTGATCCGCAAACACCTGTACCTCCACGTGCCTGACACAACACCACGTCACACACCACGTCACTCACCACGTCACTCACCACGTCACTCACCACGTCACTCACCTGCTCACCACGTCACTCACCACGTCACTCACCACGTCACTCACCACGTCACACTCACCACGTCACACACCACGTCACTCACCACGTCACTCACCACGTCACTCACCACGTCACACTCACCACGTCACACACCACGTCACTCACCACGTCACTCACCACGTCACTCACCACGTCACTCACCACGTCACTCACCACGCCACTCACCACGTCACTCACCACGTCACTCACCACGTCACTCACCACGTCACTCACCACTCACCACGTCACTCACCACGTCACTCACCACGTCACTCACCACGTCACTCACCACGTCACTCACCACGTCACTCACCACGTCACTCACCACGTCACTCCACTCACCACGTCACTCACCACGTCACTCACCACGTCACACTCACCACGTCACACACCACGTCACTCACCACGTCACTCACCACGTCACTCACCACGTCACACTCACCACGTCACACACCACGTCACTCACCACGTCACTCACCACGTCACTCACCACGTCACACACACCACGTCACTCACCACGTCACTCACCACGCCACTCACCACGTCACTCACCACGTCACTCACCACGTCACTCACCACGTCACTCACCACTCACCACGTCACTCACCACGTCACTCACCACGTCACTCACCACGTCACTCACCACGTCACTCACCACGTCACTCACCACGTCACACTCACCACGTCACTCACCACGTCACTCACCATGTCACTCACCACGTCACTCACCACGTCACACTCACCACGTCACACACCACGTCACTCACCACGTCACTCACCACGTCACTCACCACGTCACACACCACGTCACTCACCACGTCACTCACCACGTCACTCACTACGTCACTCACCACGTCACACACACCACGTCACTCACCACGTCACACTCACCACGTCACACTCACCACGTCACACACCACGTGCCTGACACACCACACCACGTCACACCGCGTCACACACCACGTCACACCGCGTCACACCACCACCCCAAACCACCACGTCACTCACCACCCCACACCACCACGTCACACCACCCCACGTCACGTGGTCTCACCGTGGGTTATCGACGTATCTCTCGATGATGACGTCGTCGTTGTTGAACGACTTCATCGCCTCTCGGCGCGCCGCTCCCAGCTGCTCCTCAAACTCCGCGTCGCTACGCACAATCCGCATGCCCTGTGCGACATCATCACCATCAACATCATCAACATCATCATCGCCATCAACATCATCAACATCATCAACATCAACACCGTCAACACCATCAGCGTCGCTACGCACAATCCTCATGCCCTGTGCAACATCAACAACATCAACACCATCAACATCAACAACATCAACACCATCAACATCAACATCATCAACATGAACATCAACATTAATACCAACACCATCAACACCAACATCATCATCAACATCATCAACACCATCATCATCAACACCATCAACACCAACATCATCATCAACACCATCAACACCATCAACGTCGCTACGCACAATCCGCATGCCCTGTGTAACGTCACCATCAACATCATCAACATCATCAACATCATCATCGCCATCAACACCGTCAACACCATCAACACCATCAACACCGTCAACATCATCAACATCATCAACGTCGCTACGCACAATCCTCATGCCCTGTGCAACATCAACAACATCAACACCATCAACATCATCAACATCATCAACATCAACACCATCAACACCATCAACATCATCACCATCAACACCATCAGCGTCGCTACGCACAATCCTCATGCCCTGTGCAACGTCACCATCAATAATACCATCAACACCATCAACATCACCATCAACATCATCAACATCATCAACGCCAACACCGTCAACACCATCAACACCATCACCATCAACACCATCACCATCACCACCATCAACACCATCAACACCATCAACACCATCAACACCATCACCATCAACACCATCACCACCAACACCATCAACACCATCAACACCATCAACACCATCACCATCACCACCATCACCATCACCACCATCACCATCACCACCACCATCACCACCATCACCATCACCACCACCACCATCACCATCAACACCATCACCACCATCACCACCATCACCACTACCACCACCATCACCACCACCACCATCACCACCATCACCACCATCACCACCATCACCATCATCACCATCACCACCATCACCACCATCACCACCATCACCACTACCACCACCATCACCACCACCACCATCACCACCATCACCACCATCACCACCATCACCATCATCACCATCACCAACACCACCATCACCGCCATCAACATCACCACCATCAACACCATCACCACTACCACCACCATCCACCACCATCACCACCATCACCACCATCACCACCATCACCATCATCACCATCACCACCATCACCACCATCACCACCATCACCACTAACACCATCACCACCATCACCACCATCACCACCACCATCACTACCACCATCACCACCCTCACCATCACCACCATCACCATCAACACTACCATCATCACCACCATCACTACCACCATCATCATCACCACCATCACCACTATCACCACCATCACTACCACCATCACCATCACCACCATCACCACTAACACCATCACCACCACCATCACCATCACCACCATCACCACCACCATCACCATCACCACCATCACCACTAACACCATCACCACCATCACCACCATCACTACCACCATCACCACCATCACCACTAACACCATCACCACCACCATCACCACCATCACCATCACCACTAACACCATCACCACCACCACCATCACCACCATCACCATCAACACCATCACCACCACCACCATCACCATCACCACCATCACCACTACCACCATCACCACCATCACCACCATCACCACCATCACCATCACCACTACCACCATCACCACCACCACCATCACCACCATCACCATCAACACCATCAACACCATCACCACCATCACCACCACCATCACCATCACCACCATCACCACTACCACCATCACCACCATCACCACCATCACCATCACCACCATCACCACTACCACCATCACCACCATCACCACCATCACCACCATCACCACCATCATCACCATCACCACCATCACCACTAACACCATCACCACCATCACCACCACCATCACTACCACCATCACCACCATCACCACCATCACCATCACCACCATCACCACTACCACCATCACCACCATCACCACCATCACCACCATCACCACCACCATCACCATCACCACCATCACCACCATCACCACCATCACCTTGCCACCGCCGCCCCTCACGGCCTTGACCATCACCGGGTAGCCGATGAGCTCCGCCTCCTTTCTCAGCCGCCCCTCTGATTGGTCGTCGCCGTGGTAACCCTTGATGATTGGCACCCCGGCCGCCTCCATGATGGCCTTGGATGTGCTGGGAGGGTGAGGGGGTGAGGGGGGTGAGGGGGGGAGGTGGTTAGGGGGGTGAGGGGGGTGAGGGGGGTGAGGAAGGTGAGGGGGGGAGGTGGTTAGGGGGGTGAGGGGGGTGAGGGGGGGGTGAGCGGAGAGTGAGTGGTGAGCACCTCTTGAACCCCATGTCTCGGATGGCGGAGGCGGGTGGTGACTGAGTGAGCGAGTGAGTGAGTGACTGAGTGAGTGGTGAGTGAGCATGGTGAGCGTGGTGAGTGAGTGGTGAGCGTGGTGAGTGAGTGATTGAGTGGTGAGCATGGTGAGTGAGTGGTGGGCGAGTGGTGAACGAGTGGTGAGCGTGGTGAGTGAGTGGTGAGCGTGGTGAGTGAGTGAGCACCTCTTGAACCCCATGTCTCGGATGGCAGAGGCGGGCGGTGAGTGAGTGAGTGGTGAGTGAGCGTGGTGAGTGAGCGTGGTGAGCATGGTGAACGAGTGGTGAGTGAGTGAGTGGTGAGCACCTCTTGAACCCCATGTCTCTGATGGCGGAGGCGGGCAGTGAGTGAGTGAGCGAGTGAGCGAGTGACTGAGTGAGTGGTGAGTGGTGAGTGAGCATGGTGAGCGTGGTGAGTGAGTGGTGAGCGAGCGAGCGAGGTGAGTGAGCACCTCTTGAACCCCATGTCTCGGATGGCGGAGGCGGGCGGTGACTGAGTGAGCGAGTGAGTGGTGAGCGTGGTGAGTGAGTGGTGCATGTGATTGGTGAGTGAGCGAGTGGTGAGCATGGTGAGCGAGTGGTGAGCGAGTGGTGAGCACCTCTTGAACCCCATGTCTCGGATGGCGGAGGCGGTGAGTGAGTGGTGAGCATGGTGAGCGAGTGAGCGAGTGACTGAGTGAGTGAGTGGTGAGCGAGTGGTGAGCGAGCGAGTGGTGAGCACCTCTTGAACCCCATGTCTCGGATGGCGGAGGCGGTGAGTGAGTGGTGAGCATGGTGAGCGAGTGAGCGAGTGACTGAGTGAGTGAGTGGTGAGCGAGTGGTGAGCGAGCGAGTGGTGAGCACCTCTTGAACCCCATGTCTCGGATGGCGGAGGCGGTGAGTGAGTGGTGAGCATGGTGAGCGAGTGAGCGAGTGACTGAGTGAGTGAGTGGTGAGCGAGTGGTGAGCGAGCGAGTGGTGAGCACCTCTTGAACCCCATGTCTCGGATGGCGGAGGCGGGCGGTCCGACGAAGACGACGCCGGCCGCTTGGCACCGCTCGGCAAACTCGGCAGACTCCGATAGGAACCCGTAGCCTGGGTGCACAGCCTGGGGGGGGGGGCATGGGGGGGGGCACGTGGGGGGGGGCACGTGGGGGGGGGCACGTGGGGGGGGCACGTGGGGGGGGCACGTGGGGGTGAGACAGTGAAAAGCAGCAATCTGTGAGCGACCATCCAACGTGTCCCAATCTACACCCCTCCCCCCCGTGCCCCCCCCATATTCCCCCCACCGTGTGCCCCCCCTCGTCCGTCCCCCCCGTGTCCCCCCCGTGCCCCCTCCCCCGTGCCCCCCCCCTAGTGCCCCCCCCCTAGTGCTCCCCCCCGTGCCCCCCCCCCCGCGTCTCACCTGAGCCTGAGCCCCCCCCCCGTGTCTCACCTGAGCCTGAGCCCCCCCCCGTGTCTCACCTGAGCCTGAGCCCCCCCCCCGTCTCACCTGAGCCTGAGCCCCCCCCCGTGTCTCACTTGAGCCTGAGCCCCCCCCCGTGTCTCACCTGAGCCTGAGCCCCCCCCCCCGTGTCTCACCTGAGCCTGAGCCCCCCCCCCGTGTCTCACCTGAGCCTGAGCCCCCCCCCGTGTCTCACCTGAGCCTGAGCCCCCCCCCCGTGTCTCACCTGAGCCTGAGCCCCCCCCCCGTGTCTCACCTGAGCCTGAGCCCCCCCCCCCGTGTCTCACCTGAGCCCCCGAGTGTCGAGCCACCTCCAGGATCCTGTCCATGTTGAGGTAGCTCAGCTGGGAGGCCGCGGGGCCAATGTGGTGCGCCTCGTCCGCCTACAACACAACAACAACAACAACCACCACTCGCCACCACCACCACAACAACAACAACCACTCGTGACATCACGACAACAACAACAACAACCGCCACTCGTGACATCACAACAACAACAACGACAACAACAACCACCACTCGCGATGTCACAACAACAACCACCACTCGTGACGTCACAACAACAACAACGACAACAACAACCACCACTCGCGATGTCACAACAACAACAACAACCACTCGTGACATCACAACAACAACCACCACTCGTGACGTCACAACAACAACAACCACCACTCGTGACGTCACAACAACAACAACGACGACAACAACCACCACTCGCGACATCGCTCCAACAACAACAACCACAACTCGCGACATCGCTCCAACAACAACAACCACCACTCGCAACATTGCTTAAACAACAACAACAACAACCGCCACTAAGTGGTGGTGACGTCACAACATCGCTCGCCACCACCATTCAGAGCACAACCATCGCCATGGTGATGGTCGTGCCGATTGCTGTGGTGGCGGTGGTTGTTGTTGGCATGGCGGTGGTTGTTGTTGCTATGGCGATGGTTGTTGTTGCTATGGCGGTGGTTGTTGTTGCTATGGCGGTGGTTGATGTTGGCATGGCGGTGGTTGTTGTTGCTATGGCGGTGGTTGTTGTTGCTATGGCGGTGGTTGTTGTTGGCATGGCGGTGGTTGTTGTTGCTATGGCGGTGTTTGTTGTTGCTATGGCGGTGGTTGTTGTTGCTATGGCGGTGGTTGTTGTTGGCATGACAGTGGTTGTTGTTGCTATGGCGGTGGTTGTTGTTGCTATGGCGGTGGTTGTTGTTGCTATGGCGGTGGTTGTTGTTGGCATGACGGTGTTTGTTGTTGCTATGGCGGTGGTTGTCGTTGCTATGGCGGCGGTGGTGGTGGTGGTTGTTGTTGGCGTGGTGGTGGTTGTTGCGGTTCACGTGATGAGTGTTGCGGTGGTGGCGGCGGCGGTCGTGGTGGCGGTTGCCATGGTTACTGTTCCCGCTTTGGTTACCATGGCGACGTGCATGGCTGCAGCGTCGGGGTCACTGAACACCGCCACGCTCCGCACCCCCATGGCCCTCGCCGAACGGATGACGCGGCACGCAATCTCACCCCGGTTCGCCACCAACACCGAGTCGATCCTGCCTGGGTCACGGGGTCAAGGGGTCACGGAGACACGGGGTCACGGAGACACGGGGTCAAGGGGTCACGGAGAGACGGGGTCACGGGGACACGGGGTCACGGGGTCACGCAATCTCAACCCGGTTCGCCACCAACACCGAGTCGATCCTGCCTGGGTCACGGGGTCAAGGGGTCACGGAGACACGGGGTCATGGAGACACGGGGTCAAGGGGTCACGGAGAGACGGGGTCACGGGGTCACGGGGTCACGCAATCTCAACCCGGTTCGCCACCAACACCGAGTCGATCCTGCCTGGGTCACGGGGTCAAGGGGTCACGGGGACACGGGGTCACAGGGTCACGGACACACGGGGTCAAGGGGTCACAGAGACACGGGGTCACGGAGACACAGGGTCACGGAGACACGGGGTTACGGGGTCATGGAGACACACGGAGACACACGGAGACACGGGGTCACGGGGTCACGGGGACACGGAGACACGGGGACACGGGGTCACGGGGACACGGAGACACGGGGTCACGGGGTCACGGGGACACGGGGACACGGGGTCACGGGGTCACGGGGTCACGGAGACACGGAGACACGGGGTCACGGAGACACGGGGTCACGGGGTCACGGAGACACGGGGTCACGAGGTCACGGAGACACGGGGTCACGGGGTCACGGGGTCACGGAGACACAGGGTCACGGAGACACGGGGTCACGGGGACACGGAGACACGGGGACACACAAAGACACACAGAGACACGGAGACACTGGGGTCACGCGATCTCCACGTGGAGCTGATGTAGCCATGCTGTAGATGATGGTGATCGTGATACTGCTGGCGGTGATGGTGGTGGTGGTGATGGTGGTGGTGATGGTGGTGGTGATGGTGGTGATGATGGTGATGATGATGGTGATGATGGTGGTGATGGTGATAATGATGGTGGTGATGGTGGTGGTGGTGTTGATGGTGATGGTGGTGATGATGGTGTTGATGGTGGTGATGGTGGTGTTGGTGGTGATGGTGATGGTGTGGATGGTGTTGGTGGTGATGTTGATCAATCACCTGAATGGGGAGAGGAGGAGGAGTAGAGAGCTCTGGATGGGATGGCATTGCGCCTGGGCCAACCCCTGCAACACAACGCAGCACAACATACACACGTCACCCCACATTTAATACACTACACGCTACACACTACACACACTATACACTACATACCACGCACACTACACACCCACACTATACACTACACACCACACACACTATACACTACACACCACACTATGCACTACATACCACGCACACTACACACCACACACACTACACACACTATACACTACACACCACACACCCCACACACGATACACTACACACCACACTACACACCACACTACACACCACACTACACACCACACTACACACCACACACACTATACACTACACTTAATACACGACACACACACACCACACACATTGTGCACCACACACACTATACACTACACACTACACACACCACACACATACACTATACACTACACACCACACACTACACTATACACTACACACACTATACACTACACACACACACTATACACTACACACACACAACTAATACACTACACTATACACTACACTACACACCACACACAACTAATACGCTACACGACTGAGATGACCGGCAGATGCACCACCAGCTGTGCTCCCCGCTGTGCCAGGCTAGGTGCAGGAGGCCACGCGGACAGACCCAGGTGGTGTGTGGTGGTGGTAGTGGTGGTGGTGTGTGGTGGTGAAAGTGGTGGCGGTTGTGGTGATAGTGGTGGTAGTTGTGGTGATACGTGGTGGTTGTTGTGGTGGTTGTTGTGGTGGTTGTGGTTGTTGTGGTGGTTGTGGTTGTTGTGGTGGTGGTAGTGGTGGTGGTAGTGGTGATAGTGATGGTGGTAGTGGTGGTTGTGGTGATAGTGGTGGTAGTGGTGATGATGGTTGTTGTAGTTGTTGTGGTTGTGGTGGTTGTTGTTGTGGTTGTTGTGGTGGTTGTTGTGGTGGTGGTTGTTGTGGTTGTGGTGGTAATGGTTGTGGTGGTTGTCGTGGTGGTGGTTGTCGTGGTGGTGGTTGTTGTGGTGGTAATGGTTGTGGTGGTTGTGTTTGTTGTTGTGTTTGTTGTTGTTGTTGTTGTGGTTGTTGTGTTTGTGGTGTTCACCTCCACAGAGACGAGAACATCGCCTGGGCAGACATTGTTGACAAGCGACGCGATGACGTCACCGCCGGGAGGTGTGTCCTCGCCAGCCAATGGGAGCGCGCCTCTGGAGCGTGCGTGATGACGTCACCACGCACGTCCGACCTTGGTAGGGGGGGTTGGCGGAGCCGACGTGCGTGATGACGTCATCACTAACGCGCGATGACGTCACTGCACTCAAGAGAAACCGCCCCCCGCCGCTATTGGGCAACGCGACTATCTACGTCATCACGTAAGCCAGGGCGTACAAACTCTCTGTACGTGATGACGTCATCGCGCTCTTTACCCGCCAAGTTCGGACGTGCGCGATGACGTCAACGTCACCGCGCACATCCGGGACCTTTGGTGGTGCGGGAGGGGGCGGAGCCAACGTTGCGTGGTTACGTCATCACTAACGCGCGATGACGTCACTGCACTAAAGCGAAACCGCCCCCCGCCGCCAGTGGGCGACGCGACCACCTGACGTCATCACGTAAACTACGTCATCACGTAAACCAGAATCCGCGTGTGATGACGTCAGCGCGCACCCTGGTGCCCCCTCACTGGCCAAGGTCAGACGTGCGCGGTGACGTCATCGCGCGCGATCACAGCGCGGTGACGTCACCACGCACGTAGGGGTTGCGGAGCCGACGTGCGTGGTGACGTCACCACAAACGCGCGGTGACGTCACGAAGTAGGAACAATTAAAATTAAAAGGCGCTTCAATAAAATGTGAACATTTGCGAGAATTAGCAACAATAACCACGAGAAATGTGCCTCTGGGCTCTGGAGACCAGCTGGAGATGATTCGGGGCAGCGCGTTGACTTTTTGAAGCTATTAACATTACATTTGTTAACTCTACTCTTTGGTTAAATTTTGATTTAAAGCTTTCGTGACTGCAGCAGGGATTGATATTCTTGGTTCTTTCGGTGAAGTCGCGTGGAAGGGAAATAATAAAATAATAAAAAAATATTAAATAATAAATTGTTCTTGTTTTATAATCAAAATAAAATAATACAAATATAAAACAGGTACAATTTATTGTTTAATATTTGTATTATTTTATTATTTCCCTTCTATGTGACTTTAATAAAAATATAAAACAATACAATGTATTGTTTTATATTTTTATTATTGTATTATTTCCATTCTACGTGCCTTTTATAAAAATCTAAAATAATACAATAATATCGTTAAATATTTTTATTATTTTATTTTTATTATAGAAAATAAAATTGTATTGTTTTATATTTTTATTATTGTATTATTTCCATTCTACGTGCCTTTTATAAAAATCTAAAACAATACAATAATATCGTTAAATATTTTTATTATTTTATTTTTATTATAGAAAATAAAATTGTATTGTTTTATATTTTTATAGATGTATTATTTCCCTTCTACGTGACTTTAATAAAAATATAAAACAATAAAATGTTATTGTTTTATATTTTTATTATTTTATTTTTATTATAAAACAATAAAAGTGTATTTTATATTTTTATAATTGTATTATTTCCCTTCTACGTGACTTTAATAAAAATATAAAACAATAAAATTGTATTGTTTTATATTTTAATTATTTTATTTTTATTATAAAACAATAAAAGTGTATTGTTTTAAACTTTTATTATTTTTTTATTTCCCTTCTACGCGACTTTACCGAAAGCACCAAGAAAATGAATCCCTGCAGTCACGAAAGCTTCAAATCGACATTTGTTATCATCTTTACGGCGTATTATTATTATCTACAAATGTGTTCACATTTGTTTTGAAGCACCGTGTACATTGTACATTCATACTGCAGGAGAAATACTATTAACTGTAAAGGGGCCGTCCATAAATGACGTCACGCACCTGGGGGGGGGGGTCAGACATTTGTGACGATCTGTGACGAGGGGGGGGGGGTGAGAAATGTGACGTCACATCAAAATGCTGCAACTTTAAATGAATATAGACAACACGTTCTACTTAATTAAATAGACTTTTTAATAAATGTATTTCCAAGTTTACGAGCTTTGTTTTCTCATTCACTTGTACATGATGATGGCTGCTTGAGTTGCAATCGAAACGTCGTATTCTATTATTATTTAATTACATTTCTTTCTACGTGACTACCGAAAGAACCAAAGAGTATCTTCTTGGTTCTCTTGGTAAAGTCACGTAGAAGGGAAATAATAAAATAATAAAAATATCAAACATAATAAAATACAATTCTCACGACGTTTCGGCCAAAACGCAAGCAGCCGTCCTCAGGTGAAGAACAGGTCTGTCGGAAAGACAGAAAGACATTCAGACGCTGTCTTTCCGACAGACCTGTTCTTCACCTGAGGACGGCTGCTTGCGTTGTGGCCGAAACGTCGCGAGAATTGTATTCTATTATATTTTAATTTTATTATTTTATTATTTCCCTTCTACGTGACTTTACCGAAAGAACCAAGAAGATGAATCCCTGCATAATATTTAATGTTTTAATTTTATTATTTTATTATTTCCCTTCTACGTGATGACTTTACCGAAAGAACCAAGAAGATGAATCCCTGCAGTCACCAAAGCTTTAAATCGAAACCAAAGAGTAATTCGTGCAGCCACGAAAGCTTCGAATCGAGTTCGATATCTTCTGATTCTCTGGGTGATGTGGTAACTGGGACCTCTGCCCCGACACCTTCATCCATGCCAGTGGCGGCTCCTGCAAAATCTCTCAGGGGGGGCAAATGTCTGGATGATTGATAAGGATAAGGTCCACCCATGCAATGGATAAATTAACAGCTTAAGCATGTAGAGGCAACTTCACTTCTTTAATATTAATGACAAATAAAGTGGCTCTTACAATACATCTCCTTGTTTGTTTCTATACTCACTATTAAAACAAACCACTCAAGTTTATTTTATTAAAGATTCCACTCGGTGGCGATAAATTATATTGTTGGATGAAACGTGCTTACGTATGATGATGTAAGCACGTTAGGGCGAGCCCTCCCGGAAGCCATAGAGAATGCATTGCAGCGCCCCCGGTCGAAAAAAAACCATCATTGAATGTAAGTCTATGGGGCCACTCGGGGCGATTCTCAGCTGGAGTGAAATCGCCCAAAAAGAGGCGGTACTCCACAGAACGTGACATGACGCTGATTGGACTGTATCCAGAGGCTGACAGTGACGGCTAGCGTGACTCTGTGGTTGAATGACATTGGTGGTGCGTCGCCCAATCGCCCTAATGAAGAAACCGCCCCTGATCCATGCCCAGTCCCAGCACCTGTCGATCAATCAACACCGTTATGGGACCTCCTTTGCCAGCACCAAAATATGAGAATAGGATTTTCCACCCTTTTTTCAGGTTGTTAAGACTGTTAAAATACTGAAACCTTTTACAATGAATCGTGTAACTGCATTGACCACAACGCTTGTGGACAGAATGCAAACATAAAACACACTCTGATAGTATGATGCATTGTATTTGAAGCTGATTGGTCCACACCAGAGACAGCTTTCTTTTGAGCCTCTGAGCCTCGTCTCAAACGGTGTTAGACCAGAAGACGCCAAAAGGACATAGACCTTCTATGGGAACCGGTTCCTATCTCTTAACATGGGGCCATAGACCTTCTATAGGAACCGGTTCCCTATCTCTTAACATGGGGCCATAGACATTCTATGGGAACCGGTTCCCCGTCTCTTAACATGGGCCATAGACCTTCTATGGGATCCGGTTCCCTATCTCCTAACATGGGCCCATAGACATTCTATGGGAACCGGTTCCCCGTCTCTTAACATGGGGCCATAGACTTTCTATGGGAACCGGTTCCCCATCTCTCAACATGGGGCCATAGACCTTCTATGGGAACCGGTTCCCCATCTCTTAACATTGTCGTATAGACTTTCTATGGGAACCGATTCCCTAAGTATAGATTGATCACTTCTAAGTACAAACTGATCACCTCTAAGCACAGACTGTGATCACTTCTAAATCCCGTGACTTGATTAAGGCGCTGCATTAATTCAACTGAGTCAAGCTGCCTCCCTCCCGCAGGACCGGTGGCATCGTCCGTGAGCCAGCACTTGCAGGGCTGCGCCTGTGCCTGTCCAAGTGTTGGTCTTCCTGCCTCAGACTACCTCTGCCTAAGACGGAGATCCCCCGTGTAGCCTGAACAGACTGTTGGGGCAGACTCACACAGAGACCCACAGACTCACACAGAGACCCACAGACTCACACAGAGACTCGTAGACTCACACAGAGACCCGTAGACTCACACAGAGACCCACAGACTCGCACAGAGACTCGTAGACTCACACAGAGACCCTTAGACTCACACAGAGACCCACAGACTCGTACAGAGACACCCACAGACCCACTCGATTCAAGAGCCGAATGGCTCACATGGCTATACCAAATAAACGAAACTGAAAACTGAAGACCCATACCGAGACACAAGAGACATACCGACTCACTCAGAGACCCACAGAGACCCACAGAGACCCACAGAGACCCCACAGAGACCCATTACCTCAATGGGTCTCTGTGTGTCTCTACGAGTCTCTGTGTATCTCTACGAGTCCATGGGTTTACTTGAGTTCTCATCTGGGGGCCGATTAAACAGCCCTGCAGTGGCTCAGCGGTAGCTTAGAGGTGGCCCAGCGGTGACCCAGCGGTGACCTCGAGGTGGTCAAGAGACGTGGCCCAGCAGTGACCCAGCGGTGACCTCGAGGTGGTCAAGAGACGTGGCTCAGCAGTGACCCAGCGGTGACCTCGTGGTGGTCAAGAGACGGGGCTCAGCGGTGACCCAGCGGTGACCTCGTGGTGGTCAAGAGACGTGGCCCAGCGGTGACCCAGCGGTGACCTCGAGGTGGTCAAGAGACGTGGCCCAGCGGTGACCCAGCGATGACCTCGAGGTGGTCAAGAGACGTGGCCCAGCGGTGACCCAGCGGTGACCTCGTGGTGGTCAAGAGACGTGGCCCAGCGGTGACCCAGCGGTGACCTCGAGGTGGTCAAGAGACGTGGCCAGCGGTGACCCAGCGGTGACCTCGAGGTGGTCAAGAGACGTGGCCCAGCGGGGAGCCAGCAGTGACCTCGTGGTGGTCAAGAGACGTGGCCCAGCGGTGACCTCGAGGTAGTCAAGAAACGTGGCCCAGCGGGGAGCCAGCGGTGACCTCGTGGTGGTCAAGAGACGTGGCCCAGCGGGGAGCCAGCGGTGACCTCGTGGTGGTCAAGAGACGTGGCCCAGCGGTGACCCAGCGGTGACCTCGTGGTGGTCAAGAGACGTGGCCCAGCGGTGACCCAGCGGTGACCTCGTGGTGGTCAAGAGACGTGGCCCAGTGGTGACCCAGCGGTGACCTCGTGGTGGTCAAGAGACGTGGCCCAGCGGTGACCTCGTGGTGGTCAAGAGACGTGGCCCAGCGGTGACCTCGAGGTGGTCAAGAGACGTGGCCCAGCGGTGACCTCGTGGTGGTCAAGAGACGTGACCCAGCGGTGACCTCGTGGTGGTCAAGAGACGTGGCCCAGCGGTGACCTCGTGGTGGTCAAGAGACGTGGCCCAGCGGTGACCTCGAGGTGGTCAAGAGACGTGGCCCAGCGGTGACCTCGTGGTGGTCAAGAGACGTGACCCAGCGGTGACCTCGTGGTGGTCAAGAGACGTGGCCCAGCGGTGACCCAGCGGTGACCTCGTGGTGGTCAAGAGACGTGGCCCAGCGGTGACCTCGAGGTGGTCAAGAGACGTGGCCCAGCGGTGACCTCGTGGTGGTCAAGAGACGTGACCCAGCGGTGACCCAGCGGTGACCTCGTGGTGGTCAAGAGACGTGGCCAGCGGACAGCCAGCGGTGACCTCGAGGTGGTCAAGAGACGTGGCCCAGCGGTGACCCAGCGGTGACCTCGTGGTGGCCAAGTGACGTGGCTCAGCGGTGACCCAGCGGTGACCTCGTGGTGGTCAAAAGACATGGCCAGCGGTGACCCAGCAGTGACCTCGTGGTGGTCAAGAGACGTGGCCCAGCGGTGACCCAGCGGTGACCTCGTGGTGGTCAAGAGACGTGGCCCAGCGGTGACCCAGCGGTGACCTCGAGGTAGTCAAGAGACGTGGCCCAGCGGTGACCCAGCGGTGACCCAGCAGCGGCAGCGATGGCCTCTGCGTGTTTCACAGCGAGGGGTCGCGAGTGGCCCGGGCGCGCCCCTGAGCGTGGTGCAGCGCTTTGGTGAGGAGGAAGCGCTCCTCACACTCTCGCCGCACCGTCTCCTGCAGCCGCAGCACCTGCCCCGAGACACACACGACAACAACAACGACGATGATGATGACACTGGTCAACACAGTGTCATCTGTGTTGACCAGTAGGGGGTCGTCAAGGGGGTCATCAAGGGGGTCATCAAGGGGGTCATCAAGGGGGTCGTCAAGGGGGTCACCAAGGGGGTCACGTTGGTAACAAAAATCACACCACATAAATGACACTGGTCAACACACTTTTTCTGGCACAAGGTATTCCAACGGTTTTAAGGTAATTTTGGGGTGCTGATTCAAAATGTATCACATCAGGTTTGTGGGATATCAAATATTGCATTTTCATTACAAACTGCAGAAGAAAAATATTAAATAAACGTGGATATCTACATAAAATTATATTATAAACACACTATCATAAAAAATACCGCACCATATTTTAACACTAAAGCAGTCACTGACTCGCAACAACTTGCAATCATAAGTGACGGAGTTAATTTCGGGTAAAATCAATGAAAATAGGGTATGCCGATAGCATAAAATGAGATGTGATAGAGCAAATCTGAGATCAGATTTGGAATCAGAAATTAGTTTAGAACAGCTGCAAAAGTCCAGGCCAGAATTTTTTTTTGGTTGACCAGTGTGAGATACACGCGGAGAGGTGGACAATAATGGAGCGGTACGGGTGGCCGGGTGGACAAGCTCCTGCCCGACTCGGCGAAAATGAACGAGAGAATGATTTGCTGATCGAGTGGGTGAGCGAGTGAGCGAGTGAACGAGCGAGTGATCGGGTGAACGAGCGAGTGAGCGAGTGGGTGAGCTACCGAGCGACTCGGCAGATGAGTGAGCGAGTGAACGAGCGAGTGGTCGGGTCTCCGCCCATCCGGGTCGGTAGCGACAACCCCGGCCCGCGTTAGCCTGGGCACGAAGCGGACGTGGCGAGGGCGGCCCACCTCACCTCGTCCTCCGCGCGTCCCAGCGCCGCCCGGAGGCCCTCGCCGCTCTCCCTCAGCGCCCGGGCCTCCTCCCTCCGCAGCGAGGCCTGCGCCTCGGCCAGCGCCCGGGCCTCCGCGGCCGCCCCCTCCTGCTGCCGCGCCAGCGAGACCCGCAGACGGCGCCACTCCTCTCGCTCGAGCGCCAGCTCCTGCCGTGCGGCCCGCAGCTCCTGGGCCGCCCGGTCCCGCGAGGCCCCCTCCGCCTGGGCCTCCGCGAGCCGCTCCCGCAGTTGCCGGGCCGCCGTTTTCTCCAGGCCTAGCGAGGCCTCCAAGTCGCCTAGCCGCGCCCGCAACTCCGACGTCCCAGATTCGGCGGCTGCGAGTCTCTCCCTCGACTTTTCGGCTGCCGTTCTCTCCAGGCCCAGCGAAGCCTCCAGCTCGCCTATCCGGGCCTTGAGTTCGTGCCGTTCCTCGGAGCGAGCGGCCTGCAGGAGGTCGGCCCTGGCCTGGGCCTTGGTGAGCTCCTCCCTCGACTTTTCGGCCTCCGCTTTCTCCAGGCCCAGCGAAGCCTCAAGCTGACCTATCCGGGCCTTGAGTTCGTGCCGTTCCTGGGAGCGAGCGGCCTGCAGGAGGTCGGCCCTGGCCTGGGCCTTGGTGAGCTCCTCCCTCGACTTTTCGGCCGCCGCTTTCTGCAGGCCCAGCGAAGCCTCAAGCTGACCTATCCGGGCCTTGAGTTCGTGCCGTTCCTGGGAGCGAGCGCCCTGCAGGAGGTCGGCCCTGGCCTGGGCCTTGGTGAGCTCCTCCGCTGACTTTTCGGCCGCCGTTTTTTCCAGGCCCAGCGAAGCCTCCAGCTCGCCTATCCGGGCCTTGAGTTCGTGTCGCTCCTCAGTGTGAGCGCACTGCAGGAGGTCGGCCCTGGCCTGGGCCTTGCTCAGCTCCTCCCTCGACTTTTCGACCGCCGTTCTCTCCAGGCCCAGCGAAGCCTCCAGCTCGCCTATCCGGGCCTTGAGTTCGTGTCGCTCCTCGGAGCGAGCGGCCTGCAAGAGGTCGGCCCTGGCCTGGGCCTTGGTGAGCTCCTCTCTCGACTTTTCGGCCGCCGTTCTCTCCAGGCCCAGCGAAGCCTCCAGCTCGCCCAGCCTCGCCTTCCACGCGTTGGCCTCCCTGCCGCGGGCCGCCTGGCCGCGCGAGGCCCTGCTCTCGGCCTGCGCCAACGCCGCCTCCGCCCCCCTCCTCGCCGCCTTCTCCTCGTCCAGGCAGGCCCGGAGCTCGCCCAGCTCTCCCCGCAGGGCCTCGAGGTCCGTGTCGCGGGCGGCCTGGGCGAGGGAGGCCCCGGCCTCGGCCTGGGCGAGCCGCTCTCTGAGCGAGGCCTCCTGAGCGCGGAAGGCCTCGGCGGCTTGAGCCTGAAGAGACGGAGCGGGGGGGCGTCGGAATCGTGATCACTTCTAAGCATAGACTGATCACTTCTGAGTACAGATTGATCACTTCTAAGCACAGACTGTGATCACCTCGAAGTCCCGTGACTTGATTAAGGCGCGCTGCATTAATTCAACTGAGTCAAGCTGCCCTCCCTCCCGCGAGATCGGTGGCATCGTCCGTGAGCCAGCACTTGCAGGGCTGCGCCCGTGCCTGTCCAAGTGTTTGTCTTCCTGCCTCAGACCACCTCTGCCTAAGAGGGAGACCCCCCGTGTAGCCTGAACAGACTGTTGAGGCAGACTCGCACAGATATCCGTAGACTCACATAGAGACCAGTAGACTCACACAGAGACCCACAGACTCGCACAGAGACCCACAGACTCACACAGAGACCCACAGACTCACACAGAGACCCACAGACTCACACAGAGACCCACAGACTCACACAGAGACCCATAGACTCACACAGACTCACAGAGACCCACAGACTCACAGAGACCCATAGACTCACACAGAGACCCATAGACTCACACAGAGACCCATAGACTCACACAGATATCCATAGACTCACACAGAGACCCACAGACTCACACAGAGACCCACAGACTCACACAGAGACCATAGACTCACACAGAGACCCATAGACTCACACAGAGACCCATAGACTCACACAGAGACCCATAGACTCACACAGAGACCCATAGACTATCACAGAGACCCACAGACTCACACAGAGACCCAGACTCAGGAGAGACGAGAGTGGCGTTGTCTGAGAGCACTCGTGTCGTGACCCTACCTCTCCCATCACGCGGCCCAGCTGCGTCTGCGCAGTATCCCTCTGCGAGGTCACCTCCTTTAGCCTGAGGGATGTGGAGACGATGCACATCATGAGCATCGTCGTCGTCATCATCATCGTCATCATCATCGTCATCATCATCGTCGTCATCATCGTCGTCATCATCATCGTCATCATCATCGTCATCATCATCGTCGTCATCATCGTCGTCATCATTGTCATCATCATCATCATCGTCGTCATCATCGTCGTCATCATCGTTGTCATCATCATCATCGTCGTCATCATCGTCGTCATCATTGTCATCATCATCATCATCGTCGTCATCATCATCGTCATCATCATCATCATCATCATCGTCGTCATCATCGTCGTCATCATCATCGTCATCATCATCGTCGTCGTCGTCAGCATTGTCGTCATCATGATCGTCGTCAAGGACATGGTCGGTCGTCCCTCGTGAGCCGTGCAGGCGACAATAGGCGCTGGCTGACTGCGTGGGTGAGTGGGTGGGTGGATGCTTCATTGAGTGAGTGACTCACCGGATGATTGAGTGGGTGAGTGAGTGGGTAAATGAATGAGTGCACGAGTGAATGGGTGAGTGACTGGATGATTGAGTGGGTGAGTGGGTGAATGAATGAGTGCATGAGTGAATGGGTGAGTGAGTAGGTGGGTGAGTGAGTGAGTGAGTAGGTGGGTGAGTGAGTGAGTATGTGGGTGAGTGAGTGACTGGGTGATTGAGTGGGTGAGCGAGTGAGTGAGTGACCCCATGATTTGGAGGGCGAGCGAGTGGGCGGGCGAGAGAGCGGGTGGGCGGGTGAGCAGGTGAGGGAGGTAGCGAGCTGGGTGGGTGGGTGAGTTTGCCCACCGTTTCGTGAGGTCATCTATCTCCGCTCTCATCTCTCTCTGCACCTCCTCCAGCCGCTTCACCTCGTTCAGAACGAGGTAGCTCACCCCACAGAACTGGCACACGGTCTCGGCACGGGACATCTGCACTCACCGGACACACGCACGGCCATCGTCATCATCACCATCCACATCATCATCGCCATCATCGCCATCATCACCATCGACATCATCATCGCCATCATCGCCATCGATATCATCACCATCCACATCATCATCGCCATCGCCATCATCACCATGGACATCATCATCGCCATCGCCATCATCACCATCGACATCATCACCATCGACATCATCATCACCATCGACATCATCACCATCCTCACCATCCTCACCATCCTCCGCACCATCCTCACCATCCTCACCATCCTCACCACCATCCTCACCATCCTCCTCACCATCCTCCTCACCATCCTCCTCACCATCCTCCTCACCATCCTCACCATCCTCCTCACCATCCTCACCATCCTCACCACCATCCTCACCATCCTCACCATCCTCACCATCCTCACCATCCTCACCATCATCACCATCCTCCTCACCATCCTCACCATCCTCACCATCACCATCCTCACCATCCTCACCATCCTCCGCACCATCCTCACCATCCTCACCATCCTCACCACCATCCTCACCATCCTCACCATCCTCACCACCATCCTCACCATCCTCACCATCCTCACCATCCTCACCACCATCCTCACCATCCTCACCATCCTCACCACCATCCTCACCATCCTCACCATCCTCACCATCCTCCTCACCATCCTCACCATCCTCACCATCACCATCCTCACCATCCTCACCATCCTCACCATCCTCACCACCCTCCTCACCATCATCACCATCCTCACCATCCCCCGCACCATCCTCACCATCCTCACCATCCTCCTCACCATCATCACCATCCTCACCATTCCCCGCACCATCCTCACCATCCTCACCATCCTCCGCACCATCCTCCTCACCATCCTCACCATCCTCACCATCCTCCTCACCATCCTCACCATCCTCACCATCCTCACCATCACCATCCTCACCATCATCACCATCCTCCTCACCATCCTCACCATCCTCACCATCACCATCCTCACCATCCTCCGCACCATCCTCACCATCCTCACCATCCTCACCACCATCCTCACCATCCTCACCATCCTCACCACCATCCTCACCATCCTCACCATCCTCACCATCCTCCTCACCATCACCATCCTCACCATCACCATCCTCACCATCATCACCATCCTCCTCACCATCCTCACCATCCTCACCATCACCACCATCCTCACCATCATCACCATCCTCCTCACCATCCTCACCATCCTCCGCACCATCCTCACCATCCTCACCATCCTCCTCACCACCATCACCATCCTCACCATCCTCCGCACCATCCTCACCATCCTCACCATCCTCCGCACCATCCTCCTCACCATCCTCACCATCCTCACCATCCTCACCTTCTGGATGGCCTCTGGCAGGGGGTGCTCTGGGATGAATCTCTCCATGGCAGCTCCACAGGATCCACACGGCCAACTCACGAACACAACCCTCCAGACTGGAGGGGAGGGGGGGGAGGAGGAGGAGGGGGGAGGGGGGAGGAGGAGGGGGGAGGGGGGAGGAGGGGGGAGGGGGGAGGAGGGGGTAGAAGGGGGGAGAGGGGAGGAGGGGGAGGGAGGGGGAGGAGGAGGGGGGAGGAGGGGGGAGGGGGGAGGAGGGGGGAGAGGGGAGGAGGGGGAGGGAGGAGGAGGAGGGGGGAGGGGGGAGGAGGAGGGGGGAGGGGGGAGGAGGGGGGAGGGGGGAGGAGGGGGTAGAAGGGGGGAGAGGGGAGGAGGGGGAGGGAGGGGGAGGAGGAGGGGGGAGGAGGGGGGAGGGGGGAGGAGGGGGGAGAGGGGAGGAGGGGGAGGGAGGAGGAGGAGGGGGAGGAGGAGGGGGCAGGAGGATGGGGGAGGAGGAGGGTGGAGGAGGGGGGAGGGGGGAGGAGGAGGGGGGAGGGGGGGGAGGAGGGTGGAGGGGGGGAGGAGGATGGGGGAGGGGGGGAGTAGGGGGAGGGAGGAGGGGGCGGAGGAGGGGGAGGAGGAGGAATCCGATGAGCTATGAAGCACTTTTATTCTCTCACAGATGTCCAGTAGGGGGCACAGGGTCGCACGTTACAATGACAAAGACAATACTACAACAATTACAACAACTACAACAACTACTACAACAACTACTACAACAACAACTACAACAACTACTTACTACTACAACAACAAC